TGTGTGTGTGTGTTTGTATGTGTGTGTTTGTATTATGTGGAAGTGTCTGTACTAGAGGTTCTCATTTCACTTCCATTTTTTCTCCTTCCCGATCCTCTTTCGAATTTCCATTCATGACAACATTCCAGAAAGTTCCCATTCCTTACTTTTTAACTCGTTCCCGCGTTTTTTCTCTCAATCCCTCCAAAGTTGTATAGAGTTATACAGAGTTGTATAGAGTTATACAGAGTTGTATATAGTTATACAGAGTTGTATATAGTTATACAGAGTTGTATAGAGTTATACAGAGTTGTATAGAGTTATACAAAGTTGTATAGAGTTATATAGCGCTTCCCAATAAATTTGGCAAACAGATGGGTCTTGGAATAGAGGCGTCAGGCATACGTTTATCCACAACGTCAGTAGCAGCAGCTTCATCAGCTTCGGCAGCAGCAGCTTCAGCAGCAACAGCTTCATCAGCTTCAGCAGCAGCTTCAGCAGCAGCAGCACAACCTACAGCGTCATCAACAGTTGTGTTGAACTTTGAACTCAACATGTTCAATATCATCATCGGACTATTAATTATCAGCCAATCATCCAACCATCTAACGTTCTGTCGATGTTGTCGTTCATTCATTCATTTGTTCCTTCAGTTCCTTCATTCACTCATTCGTCCAATCACTCATTCATGCGCGCGTGTGTGGTTTATGTTCATGAACACATCTTAAGATTATTTAATTGTTCTTGTGAACATGTAAACCAGTAAGGGTCACTATAAATAATGGCCTTTGTTAAGCTCTGTTGCTGTTGTTGTTTGTGATGTTGTTGTTGCAGTTGTTTATTGCATGCCATCTGACTTTGATGTCTTTGTGTAGCCACGTGGTTTCTTGTTGTTTATGTTGTTGTTGGTTGTGTTGTTGTTCTTGTGGTTGTTTGTGTTTTGTGTGGTAGTATCAGTTGTATTGGTGGCAGCATTTGTACCAAAACCGTACCAATGACGATGTTTTATTTTCAAAACTGAATGTATCACGTATGTTGGTTGTATCGAGTGTCAAACGATTATTTGTCTGTCTGTCTGTCTGCCTGTTTCTTTGTTCGTTCGTTTGTTAGTATGTATGTATGTGTGCATGTGTGTGTGTGTGAGTGTGGGTTGTGTGTGTGTGTGTGTGTGTGTGTATGCGTGTGTGTTTAACACGTCTGCATGTTTGCCAAAGATATTTGTTTGCCAAAGATATTTGCTTATTTGTTTATATTATTGGCGCATTCAATATATATATTCACGAGTTTGTTTCTTTTTGCTGCCTGTCTCACTCAGTAACTTTATAATTTTCTAGCTTGTCTGTACGCATTAAGTTACTGTATGCTTGCACACAAACAGAAAACCACACAAACAACTCAACTTCATGAGAAAACACACACACATATACACACAAACAAGCATACATACTTGCATACAATACAAAACAATACACTGACAGATGGTGTTTTATAAAGAAATAGTACGTTTAAAAAGATGCATGTATGCCTGCTAGTACATGCGTGTGTGTGCGTGTGTGTGTGCGTGTGTGTGTGGTGTGTGTGTGTTTATAATTTCTCATTGATATCCATAGAATCGTGCCTTTTATGATAGTTCTGGGTTTATTAAAAAATATTATTCTTTGGAAACATTCAACATAGATAATTATTTGGCTGTCTGGAAAAATTAAGACGACGACGATGATGATGATGATGATGAGGACTGTGATGAAGACGATACATCCTTGTTTAGTTTTGTCATTTTACTACATTGTTGATGTTGTCTTTGTTGTTGTTGATGATGATGTTTGTTCTATGTGCACGTGCGTGTGAAACAATTATTTCGTAAATCACAACATGAAAAACTAAGCGCTCCAAAATGATTTGGCACGAACAAACGTCATCGACTGATCGGATGATGTAAACAACTTATATCACGTGCGTATGTACGTCTGTATGCTTGTATGTATGTATGTATGTGTGTATGTTTGTATATATTTAAGATGTATGTATGAATCTATGTACGTGTTTGTGTGTGTGTGTATGTTTGTATGTATGTGCGTGTGTGCGTGTGTATCTTATCGCCTGGGTATCATGTTTCTTGCACCGTTCAAATGATTCTGCATGCAAATTTTTTCCTGTCACCATTTTCATTATTTCAACATTTTTTCCAACGGTTGAAATCTGACGCATCATCATCGTCGTCGTCGTCATCCTATTCCTATTTAATTAATTTAATTTAATTAATTTTCAATTTAAATTAAATTTGAATAAATATTGACAATTTAAATTATTCCATCAGGCGGAACTCTCACAAATGTTACACAGTCTCTCTGAGAAGGCCAAATCTGGCACCGAGTTCATCGCCAGACTCAAAGGACTGCAAGAGAAAGTTGAAGTTGGTTGATTGATTGATTGATTGATCGATTGGTGGTTGGCTGGTTGGTTGAGTGATTGGCTGGATGATTGGTCGGTTGCATGGTTTGTTAGTTGTATGATTAATTGATTAATCGATTGACTTATTGATTAAAAAGTTGGTGGATTGAAAGACACACACACACAAAACACACACAACACACTCGCAGGCACACAACACACGCACACATGCAAGTTATTTTTCAAAAAATTTCAACTCTTAATTAAAATTCCTCATTCTTACATCAGCTAGACCTAAAAATCTCTCATTATTTCATAAAATTTTTTTATTTTTTTACAATTTTCTACAAAGATATTTTTAAATTAATCTAAAATGCTTTTTATTTTGTAAAATTATGTTACAAAATAACTCTATTCCCGTTTGAAACATTCCTTCCTAGGATTATATTTTGGATTGTATGTGTGTGTGTTTGTATGCGTCTGTGCGTGTTTGTTGGATTGTTTGTATGTATGTGTGTTTGTATGTATGCTTGTTTGTATGTTTGTTTGTATGTATGTTTGTATGTTTGTTTTTATGTTTGTTTGTATGCTTCAAGAGAACGGCCACAAAATCAAAAAATCATTTCACATTTCAAAGTCACTCCACCAGGGAAGAATTTCATTAAAAACAATAGCCCAGAAAGATGAGATTATTATTACGTCATAAATAAGATACCTTAGTTTCAGGTGTACAATATTATAATGTCATAATTAAAATACTTGCATATGCATAGCCGTGTTAAGATATGGTACTTTAAATAAAATAATAATACCACAAGGTCCGTGGGATGAAGTAGCAGAACAACAGCGACAATAATAATTATTATTTATATTATAGTCATAATTATAATTATACAAAAAATAATTATTTTCCGACAATAATGCTTTCCGTTACATTTGACCGCCCGACCAACCTATCTAACCTCTTATCGATTGTGCCATGGTAGATGGGGATTCTGTAGATCTTTTTGTTTGCTTGTTTGTTTGTATGTGTGTGTGTGTGTGTGTATGTGTGTGTGTGTGTGTGTGTGTGTGTATGTTAGTCTGTTTGTATATGTGTTTATGTTTGTCTGTTTGTATGTGTGTAATTATTATTATAGTTGTTATTCAGACACTTTAGATATAGACAATAATAAATCTTTCAAAAAATATATTGTTATCCATTTGTTAGAACCAGGCAAAAATAACATTAAAAACATACACACATACATACTTTTATACACACATATATACATAAATACACACACACATATACAGATATACACACACACACAAATATTTGTGGTATAACTTATTACATATAACACATTTACGATGAGTTCAATTGTATCAAATTTACATTAAGATATTTTATGTATTGTGTGTCGGTATGTATGTATGTTTGTTTGTGTGTATGTATGTGTGTATGTGTGTCTCTCTTCTCTCTCTCTCTTTTCTCTCTCTCTCTCTCTCTCTCTCTCTCTCTCTCTCTCTCTCTGCATGTGTGTGTGGTGTGTGTGTGTGTGAAACAAATATTATTTTTTTAATCAAGTGAATTAAACTGCATTGTTTGTTGTATATTGTTTGCAATTCATTTGTTTTGTATAACGCTTTGTATGTTATTTGTTGTATATCTTTGTATTGTATACACCATGTAACAGTGGTCTCTTGTTCTCTTTTGTGTTGTTTTTTTTTGTCTGTCGAAGATGCTAAGGCATAATTTTTTCAATTTTTTCAAACGTTTGGTGGAATTAATAATTTAAATCTGCATTTAAATGAATATATAAATAATAATAATAATAATAACAACAACAACAACAATAATAATAATTATTATGATAGTAAACTACATTAAAAATATGAAGAGCAAATTGAATAAATCAAAAAGCGTGTTGGTGTTAATTTCAGAGGCGCCATTGAAAGATGAAAATTTATTAAAGAAAAATGATGACGATGCTGTTCTAATTGTTGTTGTTGTTGATGTTGTTGTTGTTGTTGATGTTGTTGTTGTTGTTGATGTGGTTTATGATGATGATGATGATTTGGATGATGATGATTTGGATGATGATGATTTGGAGGATGATGTTGTAGTTGTTGTAGTTGATGATGATGTTGTTGTTGTTGTTGTTGTGATTGATGATGATGACGTTGTTGTTGATGTTGTTGATGTTGATGATGATGATGTTGATGAGAACAATGATTAAGATATGAATTTTTTGATAAAGATAAAACTAATGATTAAAATGGTAACGAATGAAAACAACAACATCAACAACAACAATATTAATAATAAACCCATAATAAATAACCATAATTATATATCCTCAGACAACTTTCAATAAAATATATTAAGTGAAATGTAAGGATCAAAGCTTGTTTATTAGGTAAACTAATGCGTAAACACACACACACACACATACTTACACATACATACACACACACGTACACGCACGCACGAATACATTCATACATACACCTTACTTTAATGTTGATGTTGTTTTAAATATAAATTACATTATACCACCTCCATGTTAATAACATCAAAACATGAATCATTATATTCCGTGTTGTGTGTGTGCGTGTGGGTGTGTACGTGTGTGTGTATGTGTGTTTGTATGTTTGTGGATGTATTTTCATTGATACAGAAATAAATTGAAGAAATGTTCTTTTAACATTTTACAGAATAAATTTTTTTATTTTTGTGATCTATTTGTATACAGACATACAAAGATACATAACAAACAAAGCGTATACAAAACATACATACAAATACACAAACAAACAAACAAACGAACAGACAAACAAACAAACAGACTTCCAAATTTTCTTTTTGTATTGTTATTCAAGCTGATTCAATATTCCGTCCATCGTTCGGCCGATTCTTTGAGTGCATTGTACGAACTTTTTTACCTTTGGATGAATATTTCATTTCGGGAATTTTAAAGATATTATTCCTCAGTTGATTTACGCGCTAAAATTAAACTAAACTTCTTTCACATACAAACAGAGAAACACACGCACCCACATCCATAAACACGCACTCACACACACATACACAAGCAAACAAAAACACCCACACACACGTAAAAGATTATAAATGATTCTATAAAAAATTAATAAAAATAATTCCCGCCAGGAAACAAGCAGTGACTTCGAGCAGACAGTCCTCAGGCAGTGCGACCAACTGATCGAGGCCATCAAGCAACACAAACGGAAGTTATTATCTACAATCCAGTCTGAAAAATCCCAAAAGCTCCAAACCTTCAAGAATCAGATGGTCCAGTGTTCAGGGAAAGTGCAGAAAACAACCGGACTTCTGCAGTTCAGCATTGAGGTGCTCAAGGAAAATGACCCGGTTTCATTTCTACAGGTTTGTCATTTTTTTTGAACACAGTTTTCGTTCATTTCATGTGTTTGTTGGTTCATTTGTTTGTTGGTTCATTCGTTTGTTTGTTTTGGTGTTTCTTGCTACGTAATAGTAACATGGCAATCACACCAGGACATGAAATAAAATAAATTGCAGATTTCTTCCTCGCTTCTGAACAAAGTCTCAGAGGTCGACGCGAATTTCGTAAAAGAAGTCGAGTTCGAACCGCGAGAAACCGCCGAATTCGAATACCGGATAGATTCGAGTCGAGTTTTGCGAGCCATTGAATCCCTGGAACTTGTACAGATGAAAGGTTGGCTCGTTCGATATCTATTCTCAATAATTATCAATTTAATTCCAAGTTTTCTTATCACTGAATACCGATTACTCAAATTCTTTGTCGAGTTCTTTCTATCGGATATATACGGTTCCAACTTTATCTTTGACTATCGGTTAAAAAGGGTTCCAATCTCCCTGTATATATATATATATATTTATATATATACACTACACATATCATCGAGTATCCGATAAATACCATTCATTTCTTATCATCTTTCTACGCTTCGCCAGTCGAGTTTTTCACGCACAACTGCACTCAACTTTTTAATTATTTATTATTATCGTCATTTTGTTAGTGTTATTGTTATTATTACTATTATTTGCAGTAGTTGTAATAGTAGTAGTAGTAATAGCAGTAGTATTGCTATTGTAAGTGCACATCGCACGCACGCTCGCACAAACGTAGGTAAACATAAACATCATCATCGATCGTTATGACGTAATGATTGAGATTCATGACGTCATAATTTAAAATAGTCATGGCGTGATTGACTTTTGAGAGGACGGAGAATTTTTTGCTGTTTATTCATTCTTTGCGCTATATCATCAATATTATTGTACGTATGTGTGTATGTATGTGTGTACGTATGTGTACGTATGTGTGTACGTATGTGTGTGTATGTTTACGTATGTGTGTATGTATGTGTGTGTGTATGTATGTATGTATGTTTGTATGTATACTTATGGTAGAAACAATTTTTTACTATTGCACTACTGACTACTGGATGAAAGATGATAAGGAAATTGGTTAGTTGGTTGATTGGTTATTATGTGCGAATAGCAGTTTTGTACGAATATGTCTTTCTTTTTGTATTGTTTACTCATTTGTATTCATCGTTGTATGGATGTTTTTATATTTGTTTGTTTGTTTGTATGTGCATGTATGTATGTATGTGTATGCATGTACGTATGTTTTCTCTGTATGCTTTTTCTCTAAATTGTTATCTTATTCTGTTGAGTTATTTATAAGTTTTTATTTATTTCTTTATATATTTATTTGTGCATGCATTCATCCATTCATTTATTCATTCATCATATTCATGCATCCATCCATGCATTCATCTCGTGATCGAGTTCGTGTTCATTATCTTGGTTTCAATTGACTGACATAATTTTCCAGTTACGTACATACTTGCATACAATACAAAACAATTCGTTTCTTCATTCGTTCGTTCGTTCTTTCGTTCGTTCAACCAACAACATCAACAACAGCACCAGGAGTACCTCAAATTTTATTGGGTGAATGTAGCGGGGAGAGCAACACGATCACCATCGTCTGGCAAGCCAATCAGATCAGGGGTGGCCACCCAGACGGCTACAACCTCGAAATTGATGACGGAAATTCTGGGGCTTTTAGGGTTTGTCTCTCTGTCTGTCTGTTTGTTTGTTTGTCTGTTTGTTTGTGTTTCTTTTTATTGATGAATTTAAAATAAACAAACCGGCAACCATTTTGAAATCATTTTTTTGTCAAAACTCCGAGACACCAAAATATATTTCCACGTACTTCAAGTCTAATAATTAACTTCATTATCTGACATTGCTTGCTTTCAGCTTTTTCATTCTCCCACCCTCTTTTTCTCTCTTGCCTCACATGTTCCTCTCTCTCTCTTTATCTTTCTCTCTCTTTATCTTTCTCTCTCTTTCTCTCTCTCCTCTCTCTTGTCCCACATGTTCGTGAGTTAAATTTTAATTTCTTGTTTGGGTTCTAACATAATTGAGATATCGTGTTGTTAGATGGAGCCCTGTTTTGATGTTGTTGTTGATGTTGATGTTGTTGTCGTTGGTGTTGTTGATGTTGTTGTGGATGTTTTGAAGATAATGTTGTTCAGTATGTCGTTCACATTACTTCCAAATAATAACAACAACAACATCAGCAACAACAACAAAACAACAATAGCAACAACAGAACATCAACAACAGCCACATGCATTCATTAATGTTCTTTCTAAAATTTTATCAAAATTTTCCGATGACTGGAGTGATTGATGATGCTAGCTAGCAGTGGCTGTTTTTCAATGATGATGATGATGATGATGACGACGATGATGACGATGACGATGATGATAATGATGATGATAACAAGCCAACCAGTCAACCAACCTTTCACCTTTCAACCAAACATCCAACCAACCAACTAACCAACCAACCAACCGACCGACCAACCGACCAACCAACCAATCAGAAAGTGTTCGCGGGTAAAGAAACGATCTGCACGATAGAGGGTCTCCACTTTGACACCCCCTACAGGGCCAGGGTCAAGGCCTTCAACGTCGCGGGGGATAGCGGGTACAGCCAGTGCATCACTCTGAGAACTTCGAGAGGTTGTGATGATGATGTAGATGATGATGATGATGATAATAATAATTATAACGACAACAAAAACAACAACAGTTGCCTGGTTCACATTCGACGCTTGCCACACTTCCGGTGACGTCCAACTGACCAACAACAACATGACCGCCTCTTGCTCGTCTTTCGAAGATAGAGTCGTCCTAGGTTCCTTATTATTATCATAATTATTATCATCATAATTATTATTTTTATTCTTATATATAATTTTATTTTTAACTTAATTAACGTGTCAATCATTTTGAGTATGCCTAAGGTTCTTTTTGCTTTTGAACTCGCTTACATCGGCACTGCTTAAAATATCTGACAGGCGCTCTAACCCATTGAGTTACTAAATAAAATGTACATTAATGCGAGACTCTACTTGTTATCAATAACTTAGTACTAGTAGTAGTAGTAGTAGTAGCAGCAAAAGTTGTAGTAGGGTAAGGGTAGTAGTCGTCGTCGTCGCAGTAGTAGTAGTAGTAGTAGTAGTAGTAGCAGCAGCAGCAGCAGTAGTAGTAGTAGCAGCAGCAGTAGTAGTAGTAGTAGTACCCAAGTATTTTTATCTGTGAGAAAATAAAAATGGCAAAAAGTTATTTGTGTCTTGAGATTCAAAAATATTTCGGTCGATCCCTAGCTCGGCATGTCGGTTATTTGCAGCTGCGTAGTGCATCAGCGAGTAATTATATTTTATTATAATAATAATTATTATCAATGTAATTATGACCATAATTTTTATAAATAAATAATATTAATAACTCCAGTAGGCGTGGCTTTCATTGACATCTGATTTATTAATTTTATCTTAAACTACACTACATTTATTATAATTTTATCATAATTTCTATCATAATTATGATAATTATGATTATAATTTCATACATAATTATAATTTCAGGCAGTGTTGGTTTCGTGAGGGGCGTGCATTTTTGGGAGTACGTGGTAGACAGGTATGAGAACAACAAGGACCCTGCCTTCGGGGTGGCCAGATACGATGTTGATAAGCATAAGATGCTGGGTCAGTTTGCTTTGTTCGTTCATTCGTTCGTTTGTTCGTTCGTTCGTTCGTTTGTTCGTTCGTTCGTTTGCTCGTTCATTCGTTTTTTTTCACGATGATGATGGTTATAAAACTGTTGATGATGATGATGATGACGACGACGACGACGATGATGATAGCTTCACATCGGCTTCCAATTCTCAGTCCTAGATAGACAAAACGAGAGAGCGGAAATGAAATGAAATGTTAATGACGTCATCATCGTTATTATGACATCGAGTCACGTGATTTGACGTTTTGCAGACCTCTCTGTTCTTATTGGCTGACCTAATTTCGTTTCGAAAAACTATTATCAGGTAGATCTAAAAATAATTCTTTACCGTTAAGTTTTTTGAAACGTGTAAAAGTTGGAAAACATGAACGACAACAACATCAGCAACAAATGCAACTCACTCGACATACAAGCTGAGTGCTTCTTGATGGTTTAACTGCTGTGTAATGTTCTGGGGGGTGGAGTGCAAGGGAGACAGGGAAGGGCATAAAACCGAAAAGAAGGAGAAAAAGAAAGAAAGATAGAGAGAAGTAGAAAGAGAGAAAGAGAGAGAGAGAGAGAGAGAGAAGTTTATAGAGTTAAAGTTTTAGAAATAATTTATTCATACACATATTCTGGCACATACATACGCAGACATACATACATACAAAGGCATGCATACATACGTACATAGATGGATACATGAATGCAAACCTATGTATAGACACATATTCAATGTCACAGAGGCCTTTAAATTATTGCCAAGTAAATCGACCAGGGCTGACCCATTAAACATCCTTATCATCATCGTCGTCGTCATCATCATCATCATCATCATCATCATCGTCGTCATCATCATCATTATCGACATCTTCTTCTTCTTCTTCATCACTACGTTCATCATCGCCCATCTGACCAACTCACAATTTGAAATGGAAAATTGCATTTAAAATTTTAAATTGACCGTCCGTGACACTTTAAAAGCCCGACACACGCGCACGCACACACGCAAACATAAGCACACAGAAACACACACAAACACACATTGCACGCACACACAACTTTAACAGCATACACTGCTGCTAAAATATTGCTCGAAACCTGTGAAAATAAAAGTTAAGCACACACAAAAGTATTATTAAAAGATTCAAAAACCAAAAATAGATTTTTCACTCCAGCTTTTTTTTAAGAATCGGAAGATTTTGCTTCGAAAAACTTCATCGTCATTTTCATCATCCTCATCTTCATCATCATCATCATCATCGTCGTTTATTAAAAAGTAAAGCCACAAAAAATTAAAAAAAAACCCATTTGTTTGGCCATTTAACATTGGCTCGCTGGCAGTTGTTTCCGGTGTAGAGGAAGAAAAAGATCATATATTTTTGTTTCGAAGTATTTCACTTTTAAATATTTAATTTACTCTTTTCACTTATTTTTTCATATTTTTCTTAATAAGGAAAGTATATTTTTTAATATTTTTCCACAGCCATTCTTTCTTTCTGACTTTTTATTGGCGTCTGTTTCCTGTCACATAAACCACAGGCCCCAAAATTTTCTGACTTTAAAAACACACATACCTACCTAGATACATACACACATACATACACACAAACAAACAAACAAACATACAAACAAACATGCATATATACAAACAAACAAATATATATGTATACAAACTAACTTTCCTCCTGTTACCGCATCATATTTACTTAGATATTTACTGTTCATATGACTTTGGGTTTTAATAATAATAATGTTATTATTATTATTATTATTGGTATTACTTATTTTTCCCGCCATACTTTCCTTCCAAAACATACATAGATTTGTTTATCAGGCCAGAAACAGTTATGGATTTGTTGATTGGATGAAATATTTCACTTTGACATTTTTTCATTATTATATTTTGCTTTCTATGCTTTGTTTTCTATGTTTTGTTTTTTTATGTTTTTGTTTTTGTTATTTATATTGATATAGTTTTTGTTTGCGTTGCTTTTTTTTGAGAATGGAATGAGGATGATGTTGTTGGTCGTTTATTTTTTGTTGGTTTTATCTGCAACGCTCAAACACCGAAATAGCATTCGCCCGTATATATTCCATCTCTGCGTCTCTCTCTCTCTTTCTCTCTCTCACTCTCTTTCACACATTGCACACATTTCTCTCTTTGTTACACACGCAATGTTTCGATGGGGAACACTGGATGGAATGAATTTATCCACATCAACAACAACAACATCAACATCATTAGCATCATCAACAACAACATCATTATCATCATCAACAACAACAACGTCAACCTCACCACCACCAACCACAGGCAAGGACGACAAGGGGTGGAGCACTTACCTGGACAACAATCGCAGCTGGTTCATTCACAACGGCCAACACGTGGGACGAACGCACGGTGGCATAGGGGTGGGCAGTGTCCTCGGAGTCCTTCTTGACCTCGACCAGCAACATCTCAGTTTCTTCTTAAACGGTGAAAGACACGGACCAATAATGGCTTTCACCGGCTTGACGGGGGTCTTCTACCCCGCCATGAGTATCAATCGCAACGTTCAGATCACATTAAATTCAGGACTTGAACCACCCTTGGTCAATTTGGTATCTCCCTCAAATTTGGCACCTTCCACGAATAATAATAATAATAATAGTAGTTCAGGTTTTGCTATGCAAACAGCGGCAGGTTGCAACAATTTCCAATTGAGGGGTGTTGACTGTTCGGATAAGTCCATTGCCGCATAGAGGGGTGGACAAAATAAATGGATGAATAAATAAATGGATGGATGGATGGATGAACGATTGATCGAACAGACGAATGAATGAATGGACGTGAAACTCAAAATGTAAATAAGTATATATTTCACATATTTTTGTCATCAGTTGCATTTCTTCAATATGTTAAATGTTTATTTTTGTATTCTAAATTAAATATTATTTCAGATCTTTGTTTGTTTGTTTTCAAGTTTTCCAATGTAGTGTAACATTTTTTTTCTTTAAACATCGCTCGGGCAAAGATATAACAATCGTATTATTTCTATGTAAATATTTTTGTGTCAAATTATTAATGGATGAATGGATGGTGGGATGGATGGATGAGGAGATGGATGAGTGAATGAACGAATGAATTAATGAATGAATGAATGAATGCTTTTTCTTATTTGAAATTCTTTTTTTTACGATTTACACAAAAATTTTAAATTGGAAACTTGTAAAGTAACCTAGCACACCACAGTTACAACAGCACTGACACAGACAGACTGATTTCAAAATGTATATGCAATTATATGAAATTATTAAATATAATTAACGTTGTTAATTGATTAATTATCAATTAATTAATTGATTAATCATATATAATTGATTGGTTACGATAAATTTATATCTAAAATGTCACATAGACTTGATGGAATGCTTGTTACGCCAAAACAATATTGCGAAATAAACGAATGACCAAACGAATGAATGAATAAATAAATGAAAGAATGATTAATTGGTTGATTGATTGAATGAATGAATGAGCGAAATAAATATCATAAATAGTAAAAAAAATATATCTATTGTTAATTGTATTGCCTTTGTTAATTGATGTCATTAATGTTGAAATTATTATTATGTGAAGAAACGAATAAAATTCATTGAAGCTGGTCTGTTTTTTTTTAAATAATAATAATAATAATAATAGTAACCATCGAATATATCCATTCCATATTTATAACCTACGAACAAATTCAAGCCGTGATGGGTCAGGTACATTACATCGTCATTAAATTAATTCAACACAGATTATTTATCTATTATTGTTATTATTATTTTTGTTATAATTATAATAATTATTAATTATTATTAATTTGTAATTTATTATTATTTTTATTATGTTATAGCTTTTATATGGGTGTTTGTTGGAGGTTAGCCAGTTCCATATCCTTATACTGCCTTTGCAAGACTTCTATTTCCTATAAATATAATTATAAATAATATAATTAATAATAATATTAAATAATAATAATAATAATTTTCCACCATTTGCAGCTCTTTAGTAAGGGCCAGCATTTGATCTTGGTGCAGCTTCTTCATTGTCTCCACATGCTTGCTGTGGACGATGACCTGCCTCTTGCGTTCCTCAATAAATTTCTTCGTGTTATTCTCGTTCATTTCCCTGATACGTCTGTGTGTGCGTGCGTGCGTGTGCGTGCGTGCGTGTGTGTGTGTGCGTGTGTAAGTAATAATAGTTGTTATAAATAATATGAAAGCTAATATTCTGCCTGTCTCTTTCGGCTTTGTTCTTTATGTTCTTGTCGGCTTGTATGTTCTTTGAGCAGTCCATAGAATGTTTGGCTTGCTTCGTTTTCAGTTCTTTGTTCTCTCTAATTGGTAATTATTTTCACTCAGTCAATAAATCAATCAATCATACATTCAATCATTTAATCAACCAACCAACCATCCAAACACAACCAACCAACCAACTAACCAGCCAACTAACCAACCAACCAACCAACCAGCCAACCCACCAACCAACGATTCAATCAGCTTACTTATCATTTTTTGTAAGCAAAGCTTTCATCTGCAGTTCCTGTCTTTCTCGTAAGAATGACGTCACATGGTCTAATTTTATTTTCGCCTGAGAGGCCTGCAGTTCAAATTCTGTATTCGTCTGATTCCTTATCAGTTCCGTGTATGCTATCGTCTGCTCTGCTATCAATTCTTGTAACTGTTTCGTGAATTTAATTAATTAATTAATTAATTTATTTATTCATTCATTCATTCACTCATCTGCCCGTTAAATATTTTACGAACTTTGCTCTGATGAGAACTGCTCAGTCGATCTGCAGCGTTGGTTATTTCGATTTCACTTTGAGTACAAATTTCAATTTGTTTGAATAATGAATGAAATTATATAATTATTGACGAACATACGGTTGACAAACACACACACACACACGCACGCACACACACACATATACACATACACACGCACCCACACACGCACCCACACACGCACGCACACACACACACACACACACACACGTCCAACTAACCATTTCTTACTGTTCTTCCCGACTTTACTGGCTTCTTTTTCGCAGCCGGCCAGCAGTTTCTCGCACTCTTTAAACTGCTTCTGGTAGAATTTTATTTTCTCCTTGACGTGTTTCTTCTGCAGCTTCGCCATCTCTTTGTCTAATTTTTTTTTAATTTTTATAAAATCTCTCGAGGTGTATACGTCTTCCAGTGTTACATCCTTCAAATCGTCCAGCGAAGTATCTTGGGAGTTACGCATAGAAGCAATTGAATGTTAAGCCAATAAATAATTTTCGAAATTATCGTTCATGAATGATTTTATAACTTTTAAAATGGAGGAAGAGAATTTTTGAGTATTTGTAGTAATGTCTTTTAATAAAGATGATTCGTGAATTCAAACTCAAGAGAAAGAAGGAAAAGAGTGAACGAGAGAGAGAGAGAGAGAGAGAGAGAGAGAGAGAGAGAGAGAGAGAGAAAGAGAGAGATAGAGAGAGAAGAGAAAAGCCACGTGAAAGACAAAACCTTTCTTGGAGTCGACATCAATCTTCATGAGCGAATTCATCGTCGCGGACTGTGGTATGTTGCATGAGACATTATTCTCTTGTCTCTTTGTTGCTGCAGCATTATTATTATTATTGTTGTTGTTGCTGTTAATGTTGTTGTTGTTGTTGACGTTGTTGCTGTTGTCATTGATGTCAGCCTCCTCGATGCCGAGCTGCTGAAGCTGCTTCGATCGCTTCTCGGCTTGCGTCAGAAATTGAATCGGGGACGACAGGGCGTCTACCAGGTCTAAAAATAAGAATAATAATAATAATTTTATTATTTTATAGTTATATATTAACAATTAATTAACCAACCAATTATATTATAAGCTATATCAGCAGTAGCAGTAGCAACTACCACTACTACAACAACTACAACTACTACCGTCACAATATACAAAGTAATAACAAAATAACAATAACAATCATAATTAAATATAATAATATAAATATAATAAACCCTTGCCCACCCCCAAAGCCCTCTGGCACGTAGGTCTTCAACACAATCCTGCAAAATATCATGGGCAGACTTAGCGGAAAGTTACTCTCTGTCCGTAATAAAATATGCCTGTAGCCTATATGATAATTTTTAAATAACTATTTAAATAACTATCATTATAGTTAATATCATTATTATCCGTACCAGATTGCAGGCCATCTAGGGGTAGAATTCTCTGGCCAATCAGCTTCCCAGTCTCTTCGTACACCCCTATCCTAAGAATGGCCAGATCTGGCAGTATGACCTTGACATTTTGAGGTAAATTAGAATAAATTATGCTAATAAGAACCACTACAGCAGCAATCATAACAAAAGTTAGGGCCAGAGTAATAAAACACGTAAAACACCTTTCTGAAAACAAAAGGTTCCTCATTGAAAACCGGATTAAGCCCGTTGTTGGGGACGATTCTGGTTCTAAACTCTTTGCGGATGGTGTCAGAGGGCAGTCCGTACATGTCCACTTCCACGTACGTCCCCACGCGCTTGTCCGACAGGAACTGACCGGAAATTACCTATTTAGAGTTTTTGTGGGGATGGGAAAATGGAGAAATAGGGATGTGCTAGTTGGGAGAATGACTATTGCGAATGAAAATTCAGAAAATCAACCAATCAACTAATCAACCAGCCAACCAGCCAACCAACCAGCCAACCAACCAACTAACCAACCAACCAGCCAACCAGCCAACCAACCAGCCAACCAACCAACCAAACAACCAACCAGCCAACCAACCAGCCAATCAACCAGCCACCAACCAACCAACCAACCAACCAGCCAACCAACCAGCCAATCAACCAGCCACCAACCAACCAACCAGCCAGCCAACCAACCAACCAGTCAACCAGCCAACCTCAACCGAACAGTGGGCGGCAATCACTCCATCAACTGGACTCTCCGAGAATGGATCGAACGTTCGATCCTTGCGTCTCATGAAGTCTGGTTTCAACAAATATCTGGATGTACGTGTGTGTGCATGTGTGTGTGTGTGCATGTGTTTTTATGTATGTGCTTGTATGTACGTGTGTATCTATGTGTTTTTATGTATGTATATATGTGTGCGTGTGTGTGTGTATTTACCCGCAGTTTCCATTATATTCAAACTTTCCCTGGTTAATTTGCATGGAGAGGTCAGAGGTTTGGAAGTTCAAGGCCACCATTTGTGAACCAGCGTTCCAAAAAATCTGATTTTAGAGCACCAACAACATCATTATCAACAACAACATCATCAACAACAACATCAACAACAACATCAACAACAACAACAACATCAACAACAACATCAACAAAAACAACATCATCAATATTTTACCTGAGGCATATAATTGCTTGAATCAACCCTGCCACCTTTCGGATAAATTCTGCTCATCTGACGTTTGTTGTAGCTGTTGATGTTGTTGATGTTTTTGTTGACACACACACACACACATCACACACACACACACACCACACACACACACACACATACACACACACACACATACTAACTTAACAAACTCAATGGCGGCTTGCTTCAGACATCCGATGGCTGCAGATTCGTTGAAGGACGACATTTGGTAATGAATATTTTTCTCTGGTATTATCATTTTATTATTCTTATTATTATAATTATCAACATAACTATTGAATCTTTCACTGATTCGCCATTTTCCCTAATTGGCCACCTACACACATACCTAATTAACATTCAAACGAGACCAGCCAATCACAGAGGAGCAAACCTTCGGCGGCATTGAATCCTTGAAATTTGATTGGCTGTGCATAATTAATAAATGACGATAGGAGGGGGTGAATGTTTGTGGTGGCGCCAGTGTATTGGTAGTTCACCATGAGGGCGGTCTCTTCATCAGGCGTCAGTTCTTTCGAGCCATCGTCAACGATTGGAGGCTAATTTTGATTGGTCGGTAAATATTTTTCATTCGTTGATTTGATTTGATGGTGTTTAAGTCTGCTTTGATTTCATTGGTTGATAAATATATTTAAATTAATTTGTTTCCGCCAATGACAAAATTCAAAAAATTATCTTATAATAATAAATTGAAGTAAATGAACGCGAAACATGGCTCACTTTGTCAGGGTCTTGAGCGGGAAAGCAGCCAGTTGAAATAAAAAATATAACGAAACATTATTCGTGACGTCATCATCACCATCATCATCGTCATCGTCATCATCGTCATCAACACCGTCTTCATTAAAATCACGTGACCTGCATTTTCAACGGGCTCTTCTGATTCGTTGAAATCCAAAATGGCCTTATCCTGACCTTGGTAGAACATCTCTAATTGGACTGTGGCGAAGTAGTAATAAGCGCAATAAAAAATAATAATAATAAAATTATAATAATTATAACTAATAATTATGAATAATTATTCTTAAGAGAACCTTTTTCAACATCTGGTTTTAGGCGTTTGTTCTTAATTAAAATTTTCCTCTTTAAAGAGTTCGGAGATGGCAGTGGCACTCCTGGCTCTAGCTGGAACGCACAAATACATACAAAGAGATAAACATGCACGCATAAAACACATACAAACATACACATAAAAACATATAAAAATATAAATAAATAAACATATAGATACAAACAAACAAACATACGCACACAAACAAACATACAAACAAGCAAACAAACACACACAAACGAACAGGGTGGCTGTCGATCGGCTTCTTCAGTAGGAGATCTCCAAAGATGTCCTCACAATATTTAGCCAGCTTGTACTGCTGCGGCTTGCTGTGTGTGTGTGGCGTGAAAGTTCGACAGTATGTATCATCATCATTATCATCATCAGCATCATTATCATTATCGTCATCGTTATCATAACCTGCAGTGGTTTTCAAATGATAATATGATGGGGTACTCGCTGGTGACGAAGGCCGTATCTTTTATGGCTTTGATGACGTCCTTAGTAAGGTAGAGAAAAAAATTTTATTGGTTTTTTTTATCATCGTCATCATCGTCGTCATCGTCATCATCGTCATCATCATCATCATCATCGTCATCATCATCGTCATCATCATCATCATCATCGTCATCATCATCGTCATGGTCAAGACAACTGACAATGAACAGGATGTCAGTACACATGGCCTTCCCGTGAGTTATGATCGGTTCCTGCTCCTCACCCTTCCCGTCCCAACAATCCAATTCTATGCATCTGATGACGATGACGATGATGATAATGATGACGATGGTGGTGATGGTGGTGATGAAGGTGGTGGTGATGATGGTGATGATAGTGGTGATGATGTTTTCGATGGTTTTAAAAACATTTTGAAAGTATAACGCGAATTTTGTTTAACACAACAATTGTTCTAAACCGACCTACAAACCAACTTTTCAAACAACCAGCCATCCAGCCAACCAACCTACAACCAGCCATCCAGCCAACCAGCCAACCAACCATCCAACCAGCCAGCCAGCCAGCCAGCCATCCAGCCAACCAACCAACCAAACAGCCAACCAACCATCCAACCAACCAACCATCCATCCATCCAACCAACCAACCTGCAACCAGCCAGCAGCACCTGTCTGTACATCTCAACAGAGCTTTTCCCACCAAACTGCCTGCCAATAAGGTAGGTATTATGCGACGAGTTGATGTAGTAGTGTGCCAGCGGTTGATCCATATCATGATAGATATCCAATCTATCCAGGAAGACCGGCGGATTATCATCCGACATTAGATAGCGGCACAATCCGGATAAGGATAATTGTTCTAGTGGGATATTGATTTATATAGTGCCCCGGATTCAAGTTTACACAAAATATACACTGTGTATGTTTATTAGTCTACGTAGAAAAGAGCAAAATGTACATGCGTGTGTACGTGTGTGTATGTGTAAATGGTTGGAGGAATTTTTAATTTATTCATGAGTTAATTTATTCATAAGTTAATTTATTAATTTATTTATAAAATTAATTTATTCATACCGGCGCTCTTGAACTCCTCAATGACCTCGTACGTGTCGATGAGCTGCTTGACCCTTTTCCGGTCGAAAAATGGATATAGTATTTCATTCAGTCTGTCATCTCTTTGTCTCTATCGGTCGTGATGACGATTACGGTAACAACAACAAACAACAACAACAAACAACAACAACAAACAACAATAATAATAAACAACTGCACCAACAAACGCCAGCCGTAATTCGAACCTCGTTTAGAAAATTGACAAATTGCTGCCAAGTCCAAAACGGTTTTCCTTTACCGCTGAAGTAATAATAATAATAATAATAATAATAATAATAACAATAATAATAAATGATAATAATAATAATAATAATGAATTATATTATTAATAACATTTATCATTAATATTCGCTTCACTACTAGTAATTGAAATATAATAGAATTGTTGTCTGTGTCAACACTGTCTATGACAAAATAACAACAACAACGACAACAACAACATCAACAACAACATCGACAACAACATCAACAACAACATCAACAACAACATCAACAACAACATCAACAACAAAAACACCACCAACAACAACAACGACATCAACAATAACATCAACAACAAAAACACCACCAACAACAACAACAACATCAACAATAACATCTCTGAAAACAGTTTCTCGATATCAGATCTGGGGCATATCTTGTGGTAGAGGTCACAAAATTTCTCAAAAGTGAAATCTTCTCTCTCTATTTCGTCCGTCTATCAATGGATGAATATAATGTAAAATAATAAAAATTATAATAATAATAATTATTATTATTATTTATTGTTGTTATTACCTTTCCACTAGCTAGTCCCAAATCTTTAAGGGTCTGCATCACAATTTTTTCATTTTTGCCAGAGGCGAAAGTCTTCATCAAACTAGAAAATCACGTCAAAATATAATAACTAAGGTTTTACTGCTAATGATGACGCTGCTACTGCTGCTTCTACTACTACTACTACTACTAATAATAATAATAAATAATAATAATAACAAATAATAATAATAATAATGATCGAACCTTCTTACGGGAATATTACCGCTGGGACTGACGAGAAACGACAACCTCATCCAACTATTCATAATAAAAATGTAATTATGAAATTATGAATAATAGTAATAAATAATAATAATAAATACCAATAATAATAATAATAATAATAACTGTTTTTTGAGGCAAGTCATCGGGCAGATGTGGTTGGCTTTGTAATTGTGAATGACCGACATCAAGGCATCGACCCATGTCTGCCATAATTATTATAAATAATTAGTTATAATAATCATAATAATATTTTTATAACCATTAAAAGTTTTACAAACAAATACGGTACAGATAACAAATGAATAAATGAATGAACCAACGAATGAATGAATGAATGAACGAATGAATGATTTTAAGAGTAAATTATGTTAATTAGTAACTACCTTGGCTTCCTCCTCTGATTCAGCCACGAAATTGTTGTAAGTAACGTTAATGAGATCCAGACCGGAACAAACCGTGAATATTTTCCTGTCAATCTGTGACTGACACCTCGACTCTATCTCCGTCAAAAGCCTCATGTCCTTTCAATAGTTTTAATTCATTCGTTTATTAATTTTTTCATTCATTCGTTTATTCACTTATTCATTCATTTTTCTACTCATTCATGAAATGAAGTTGCAAAAAAATTGAAACAAACTTTTGGCAGCGAGCCGAGAAGAACCTCACTGACTTCAGAGCAGTCGATCAGCTGGCCGTCCTTTCGTTCGCGGATGGATGGACGGATGGACGGATGGATGGATGTATGGATAAATGGATAGATGGATTATGATAATAATAAGAAAAAGAAGAAGAAAAAAAATAGCAATAATAAATGCACATTAGCGTATTAACCGAAGCAATAATTCCCAATCATTTGATTTGTCAAGGTGTGATTTATTAATTAATCAAGGTGGAAAATCTAGAATTATTATTATTGCTATTATTATTGTACGTACACACACACATACGTACACACACACATACGTACACACGCACATACGTACACACGCACATACGTACACACACATACGTACACACACACATACATATATTTGATTTTTATCTCTCTCTCTCTCTCTTTCTCTTTTCCTCTCTTTCTAATGGATCATTAATAAAAAATCAATAACATCGTCATCATCGTTAATGTCAAAAACATCACACGAGCTCTATCAAGTTGCAACAACAACAACAGCTACAACAACATCAACAACAACTACAAAAACAACTACAACAACAATAGCATCAACTACATCAACAACCTTTCCATCACTTTTCCAGTAAATGAAAAAGCCATAATCATCGACCTTAACAATGCAGTCGTAGTCACACACACCTGCCTCCTATGTCGTGCATTAATACAAATCCATTAACACACATGTGTCTGTATGTGTATGTGTGTCTGTATGTGTGTGTGTGTGTCTGCGTATGTACGTGTAGTTTTTGATACTGAAACGCTGAAATGTGATTGGAAAAATATGGAAGATTTTCAACAATGTATCATAGCCTGAAATTGGTTAGGAGTTTCAACCAGCAAATCAAACTACCTCGTTTTAACAACATACTAAAATTGTAAACGAGCAAATCTCACCTCCATATAACGAACACAACTTTCTTACGAAACAAAGCCAGCCAACATCTCGTTATAACGAAAAAAGCTCACCTCGATATATCGATGCGCCACGATTCCATCTCTCAAAATCTTAGGGACTGTTATCTGCCATTGAAAATCAAATGCCTTCGACATTTTTTTCAAATCTTTCCAACTTATGATCTCGTCTGTCCTGGCTTCAAATGCATTCCGAGTAGAAACAAAAAATTCGTTGCGACGGATCGTGACACTAAATGCGATCTACTTTTTATATTATGCATTAAGTAAGTGCATCTAGTTCGCGTGCTATAGAAGCATATGTACGTTTGTTATGTATAAATGCATCTCATTCATTCATTCATTCATTCATTCATTCATTCATTCATTCACAGCGTTTGATTTTGTTTGACATTTAATTTTTGATTAAAAAATGTCACCCCATCACCTCATGACAGCATTACTTCTCCGCTTTTTTAACATACAGCCAGAGTGAGTGTATTTAAATTAGCTCTCCCCACCAGAGACCTACTGGCCGACGGTGGTGCGAGTTGTTTGCGGTGGCAACTCCATCCAACTGGCCTCCGAGCCGAAGTAAACTTCCGTCGTTCAACAATGGAGACCTCGTGCTTCCAATAGTTATATAATATAATAATAATAATAATAATAATAATAATAATAATAATAATATACAAATCATCAAATGCAAACAAACATTTCCCTTGTTAATCATTGCTACAATCATTTATTACAGCTGCATAAGAAGACTCGAATGAGTTGTAATTTGTTTTCATCATGGTGGATAACTCAGCCAATGAGTGGAGGGTCTTAAATTTTTATCATCAACATTATCACAAACTATAATAATAATAATAATAATAATAATAATAATAATAATAATAATATTAAATACGTTTTTCGACCAAGCAGGGCAATTGTATATAGAGTTGCATACGCATCGTTCAATTCTAAATCAGTTAGAAGCTAATAAAAAATTGTAATTCATTAAAACCGTAACGAAATGTTAATAAATATTATTAATATTACTTTTATAACGAAGCATTATATAAATGTACATACATACATTCAAGTTATATATATATATATATATATATATATATATATATATACATGATCATTCATATATATATATATATATATGTGTGTGTGTGTGTGTAATAAAAGACAATAGCAGGAACCACCATTGCCTTATTTAGTTGAAATCTAACTAAAATAAAAACACAATTATCAAAAATTATAGTCATAATAATAAAATATTAATTATAATTATTATGTAAAAATGATCTTATCACATACACCACCATCATCACCACAAAGCTTTTAACGTATGATCATAAATATCTAACTATCGAAATGAATGAACGAATGAACCAATGAACGAACTAATGAACGAATGAATGAACGAACGAACGAATGAGTGAATGAACAAATTTATAATAAAAAAGTAAATTTGAGAACGCAATAATATAAGCCTTAAAAACTTTTTCCAAATTGTAGCAAGGAGAGGAGCAAACAAAAATGAAAGAAAACATGAAAAATAAACCATTCAACTGCTACGATTGGCTACAATTAATCGTGAATAACTATTATAAATTAGAACATAATATAATATAATTTATTTACAATCATTCTTAAGGGCTTCAAAAACACACAAATAAATCTACAATTAATCACTAATAAATGCTTAAAGTAAATTTAATAACGTTTCATTGTGATGTCAAAAGAATAGTAATTTAGTATAACATTTTCACATACTATATATATATATATATATATATATATATATATATATATATATAAGTATATATGTACATACATACACGCACACACAATTTTTCTAAATCTATATATTTCACCTTAAGCTAATGAACGGTACAAATGGACAACTAATTATGAACAAAAATATGGACCACATTACACTATATATATATATATATATATATATATATATATATATATATATATATGCTTGCTTGTATGTTTGCTTGTTTGTATGTATGCTTGCTTGTTTGTTTGTTTGTATGTATGTTTGTTTGTATGTATGTATGTTTGTATGTATGTATGTATGTTTGTTGTTTGTTTGTTTGTTTGTATGTATGTTTGTTTGTTGTTTGTTTGTATGTATCTATAAATGTACGTAATGTAGTATGAGAAGTTTATTCCGACCAACTTCGTCTCAAAATTAATTCTTAATTTTAGTACTATGAAAAACTCCCAAAGGGCGAGCTGTGGGGTAGAAAAATAATTTAAAAAAAAATCATTTTAATATAACTTTTTAATTATTATCATTATAAATATTAATTATAATTATTATTATTCGAATTAAAATTTATTTGGGCTGCAATTTGGCAAGTTATATCAACCGAGAACGCCAACGCAGACGTTAAGTTAGAAGGACTCAAAGAACAGACAACTTCAAGATAGGTTATGGCATCTTTGGCATAATAATAATAATAATTATAATAATAATAATTATTATTATTATTAATATATATAATAATTATTATTATTATTATTATAACAACATCAATGCAGCAGCAGAATAAACAAAAAAAACAAACAAGAAAACCGCAAATGAATAGAAACAATAGAAGGTGCCACCCTATCAACTGAAAACTGTATGCTGTCATCAATGGCATTAACAATATCGCAACACAACAACAACATCAACACAACAACAACATCAACATCAACAACAACAACAACCACAACAACAACAACAACATCAGCCATAGTAATAGAAGTAGCATTGCTATGATTAACACTACAAACTCTAATTCTACGCTTGAAAAAATAACTCAATGTTAAAGATTTGGTTGGCTGGTTGGTTGGCTGGTTGGTTGGCTGGTTGGTTGGTTGGTTGGTTGGTTGGCTGGTTGGTTGGTTATTTTAACCTACCTACCTAACTAACTAT